GCATTTATCGGACAATTTGACGACGACGAACTAGATGGATTTAAAGTACAAACCCTGGATTCATACCCGCCTTATATTTCTTATGGTACGACGTTCGCTATTGGCCAAGAAGACCCAGTTCCTTGTACTTCGCAGGTGAAAAGTGTCCAACCAAAACGAACGACAGAAGAAGCAGTAGTTGCCAAAGAAGGTGCTGTGAACGTGCAGGGGTGAAATTATTCACTATTCTTGTAACATTTCGGGAACATTGGAATATCCAATTCATTGTAGTGTAATTAATTGATTTGTCCCCCAGGCCAATAATATATTTGTGGTCTACTAGTATTTGTCTCACTTTAAGACACAATTGAGACACATTTTTCATGTTAAAATTTGACAGACTACTTTGATATGTTCACTCTTATGACGTCTCAGAAGCACAGTTTTTTCGGCCCAATTCGTCTTGATACGCCCCAGCTTTCGTCTTCAGTATCGTTTTATTCTTCCTGTTACAAGAAATAATGGTATGGCTCTAAACCGAGACGAGTAATATTGTTTATTACTGTCACGTACAATCGTGGTTTCTGACAAATCGTCTGTGAATTGTATGTAATACGACACGAGTAACCCCAACCAAAAGTAATTTTGTCGTCTGACAATATTAATTGGCAGCGACAAATATCGACGAACTGATATATCGGAGAACACGTTTCATATTTATTTTTTTCATTTCCTGAAAATGCTAGTGTTCATCCATTCCCATGGTTAGTTTCGTGTGGATCTGATTTTTACTCAAGGTTGATATGACGTATAATGCTGCCATAGCAACATACGCAGTGTTTTTGTTGTTGTTATCTTTTATGTTTTGAGTGGGAGGGTGGTGTTAAGACGATGAAAACACAGCTATGATTGTTGTGGTGTTGTCTCAGTATATAATTGCTCCGCTGGTGCAGTATTCTGATGAGCGGTTGTTTTCCTGGCCCCTGAGACTCAGTTAACATTTCATTCTATACTTCACGTGTGCCATCATTCTTTTCTTAGTTCTCGGAAAATGGGCAATATCACTGCGCTGACACACACGTTTAATGTTATGTAACTAGCTAAACCGAGCAGGTGAAATGTATACTAGTATTTCACAATACGACAGGTGATTCGATTTGTTTCTAACGTGATATACTGTGATATAGTGTTACATTTCTGTAAGTATCATGGCGTCATTCCGCTTGTTCAATTGCCAGCCTCGGCACATGCTATTGCCGATAATTTTCAGTATCTTCCAGTTTCAACCAGAATTACTAAAATGTGATTAATAAGAAACATGTTTCAAATCAGGGTAGTGAAAACTTGTGATTTTAAGTGATGAGAACTTGCATTTGAAATGATAAAGAAATTGTTAATATCGCTGCTGGGGGAAGGTATGATGTTACTGCGAAAGGCAGACTAGAAATTGTACACGTGCCTGATAAGGTAGCTTGACTGAACAACCTGTGTTCAACTAAAAACGCTTTTGATTTGATTCTTTTATTTCGGGAAGTGGAATTTTCCAGATAAGTGTGTATACAGTATATGGCATCCTGAAACGACCTTTCTATACACAGTAACATCTGTCGTCAATTCAAATTAAATCTGGTCGTTTGTATCCACTTGGAATTAAATTTATGAATTTTAATCATGAAAGCAATCATTTGAATAGTGCGACAGTGTGACCTATGACCTGTCATATTCTATCATTCAGTTTGGGTAAACATCGATGACGTAATTTGGCATTACATGTATTAACATGACATATTCCTGTTTTCGTCAAACATATAAATCTAATCTAATCATTATCACTATTTTTATATTTTTTGCGGATTTGCTTATCCGGGAAAATAGCAAAAGTGTAATTACGTGCCCGCCCGCATACGCGTTACTATGGCAACATTTTCTGTATTTTCGTATAACACTGCATAATACTGATAGTCGATCACTTTGAATAGAAGCCAGCCTGTTACAAGTAACAGCCATGGTGTGCAAGAATATAAGTCTTTTTTTCTGTTCATCCCAATTCCTGAAATAGTATTTAATATATACTCAACTATGGTTAGAAATAACAAGTTATGAACACACTTTTCGTTAGACAAGGATCGTGTTTAGCTTTGAGCTAGTATGAATTTGTTTTTCTTCAGTTGGCCTTTATCAATATTGCAAATGTAATCCGTGGATTTTCTCATGGTTATCCAGTGAATAGAACAGCCAGTTCGTCTCAACACCATGAATACAGCCACAACGTGGATACACAATACTTTTATGTTCTTTTTATTTTTTTCACTGAGGTAAAATAGATAATTTGATTATCATACATTGCCATATTGTCGATGTTCACATTGGATGGAAGCCAGTAATGGGGTGGCTCTTCACGAAATGTATTCACACTATTGTGGTAACATTATTTTTCTCAATAAGGTTTTTTTCTTCTTACTATTAAGTCTGTGGAATTCTTGATTTCAGTCGACATCATTTTTTTTTCAAAAATCCTCCTGCTCCACAAAGTTTCAAATAGGTAATCCCTTACATTGAATGTTTTATTTGCCTGATTACATTACTGACAGATTACTATTGACAAAGTGGAATATAATTTTATATCATGTTGTAAAAGCCACGTACTTAGAGAAAAAAATCACTCACAAATCCAGGCAATTGAAAAATATAATAAACAAAATAATTTCTAAGTCAGTTTCAATTTGACCAATTTTCTAGACAATTATTTCCAATTTAATTGAATTATACAGATAAGCAATATATATGTATTTATTTATGTATGTATATTTTAGATTATATTTTGTGTAACTATGTAAATTTCAATATTTTATATTTAATGTTAGATAGAGTTTTTTTGTGCAGTCAAGTTGTGCAATTTAACATATAACAAGTGAGCAGTAGTTGTGATATTGAGTTGCCGACTGAAGCAAAATTAGTTTGTACAGTCCAATAGATGGGCATGCCAGTCAGATGTGTTCATTTAAGGCTGTTTGTATTCAGCATAATTTGTCTGTCATTGTGTATAATATTGACATTAGTACATTTGTGACACAGTTAATACTACAGCATCTCGAATATATTGACTCCTGCGAAGGAACATCAAGATAAAATATTAAATTAGGGACGGACCATTATTTTGGAAGAGGAGGTCAACTTAGCTGGCATCCTGAAAGAAATTTGCAGACACAAATCAGCAGTCAGAATAAAGGAAAGTATAAAGAATTAACTTAAGTGAAAAAGTCACAATTTCCATTTAAATGGAATAAATGGTATGTTTCTCTGAGCATGGCCCAATAAACATGTAGAATGTAATTAGAAAATGTATAATATTAGTACTTGTCTAGTATTGTATCCTGTATTGGTCACAGAGCGAAAATGTACATAAGACATGATATTAGCATCACATTATGTTACATTGAAGTGTTCCTTGGTAATTCAGATTTCCTCCGTTATACAGAACACTCGCAGTGCATCAGTGAGTTAATCTTTGAATCTGTTCAGTGTCACTTTTAATAGAGAATTTATGATTTTATTTTCTGATTTATAATTATCACAAAACATGTACCAAGAGAGATATTCCTGAAAAATAAAATTGCATAATCTTTACAATTAATGGAATATGCCAATTTTTAGATTGTATTTACTTAAATCTTGCCATTTACTGCAATACACAATAGAAGCCAGTCATATTTTGTTTTATGTTTCTTTACTTGCATACATTATTTTGTTGTTATCCCTTTTGAAATTTTCTCTTTAATTTTTTATTTATAGTCAATTCTGTCTTTTCTATATTGGGAATACTTTTCGTGTGGGAGTTGCTAGTAATAATTCAAAGAAAGAGTAGCAGCCATATTGGATTACCAGTGCATAATGTAAATTATTCACTGTAAACTACTGGGATTGAATTGCCATGTTTACATAGCTGACTAATCTAATAATAGGGAGCATATGTACAATTTTCTTTCTCTGATCTCTTGTAGTACAGGAATAATAAATTAGCCAGAATATATAACTATTTCTTTTTAACCAGCCCACAAATGAATAAGTTCCTTACACCCAAATTTTATTAGAAATTGTCATAATCGAGAAAAAAAAAATTATATACGTATAGACATAATTATTGATACGCTATTTCTAAGCAATTGCTGACATGAAATATCGATTCAAACCAGACCTTATTTATTTAATCAGTACATAGGTTAAAACTTATAAATGAAAGAAGTTGTTGGTGCATATTATTTCATAAAATAATTTCAAAATCTTCTCTTTTTATTTTTTGTGTCTTCAACAAGTAATTTTCTATAGTCGCGTCTTTACATTCACACTGCAAATAAATTAATTCGTTGGCTTCTTAAATCAACTTGGTGATGACTCAATCACCGTTGAATCTTTAGTTTTCATTGTTCACCTTGTATATATTCATTCCGTCTCATGAATCACAAGACTGCTTCCAATTGCTTTTGCTAGTATATTTGACGTAAAAGACATGATACATATCTAAATGATGTTGATGGATGCATTTTAATGCATCTCTCAAAAGGAAAACAAAACAACGATGTCAATTGTGCAATGATGTTGATGAAATCTCTCACATTAGATATGTATTCGTATCGCAGGTGAGCTTCAATATATCACAACTAACAGATTCCTATTTAGATTAAAAAGAGGATAGTTTACAAGGCTATGAATACATTGGAAAAGACGTTCAGTTTTGACAGGTCTTCATTTTACACTAGTTGAAAATTACAAATATGGATTAAAATCCAAAACCTGTATGAGATACCCAGCAGTAGCACAGTACAGAAAAAATGTCATTCGCTTTATTTCTCTTCCAGAGTTTGTTTAAATTTAATTGCACTCACTGCAATCTAGTCCATAGTTTGATAAAGAGATCACAAGACATGTACTTAAAAACAAACCAAAAAATAATTTTAATGTACAAATATTTTTAATAATTACAAATGTATTGAAAAATGCATGTAATTTTTGTACATTTTAATATAGTTATATATACAGTATGTACAACATTAAAGAGAAAATAAAATACAGTTTAAATTTAATGTTGTTGTACTTCGTAATTTTACAGATTTTGGAAGAACTCCAAGTGGAGTTTGGGCGGACAAGGTCATTCGGGCAAACATCAGTTTGGACGGATATCAGTTTGTTGTGCAAGATATGAAAGTCAAAGTGATCAAATCCAGCGGTTCTGTGCATTGTAGAAAAACGACTGCTTATTACCCAAATTTTCAGGTCTGTACGTAGCTGCAATAAGACAGAAAAAAAAGATTATTCAACAAAAAATATTAATTTAAGAATTTCCAAAATCAACAAGGCCACTAATCACCTTTGGATTATTGCTCCCCAATTAGATATAACAATTTTGAAACAATATTTTTTGAAAGATTCTGAATGTCTTGTATATCAATATCAGATCAAATTACCATAAAAACTCTACCCGACCTCAAAAATCAATGTAATTATTTGGCTTCTGAAATTCCAGTAGATTACACAATTGTGCCGCATTGCTAACTTTAAAGCATCCTTTATTTTTACTCTCAGAGAAACGTTTCAATGCTAATTTAAGTTTAAAAGGAGGAGAGAAACACTCCAAGAGGGTTGGTTAATAAATAAACAAAACATGAATCATAAAATTTTGGTGTTTTTACAGCATGTTTATTTTGGGGGCTGTGCTTTGAAACAGTTTAAATGTCAGTGCTTTTTATATATGAATCAGTGAGCTACATAACAAGAGGATCATTTGTAATCTTCAATCAAGTATTGGGTATTTTGTAGATCTGTGTAATGCTAGATAACAACCCACAATAGTACATAGTTAATGCTATAATACTGTAAAACAAGAAGGCAGTACAGGGAGCGTATTATCCATGCAATCTGCACTGCCTGAGAGCATATAAGTAATAACCTTGTGTTAAAAACTTTATTGTTACAATCTTTTCTAGCTTCAACTTGTTGTCATAATGTAGAGAGATATAACATCCCTAATTACTCAGAAAAGATTATGTTTTTTTTGTCTTACACCATCTAGTGACGTGATTTTGCATTTAGTTATGATTCTATTGTTGCATGTGAACAAGAAAAAGTGATTAAGTGTGACATAATTATGACGAACACTGTTCAAACAAGGCAACTGTATTATCATACAATTTTCTACAAGTGGCATTCGTTTCATTGCCAGATCAGATGTATAATGAATAACCTACCTGGTCCTGGTATATCAGCATTTGTGACATCACCAGTCCATCTACTTGTATTAGAAACAAACACACTGCTTGACATGTAGTGTTTACTTGGTCCTACGTAATCCACGGTGTCATAGCTACCTGGACCTGGTTCTGGTAGCGGTGGTGGCAGTGGCATAGCTGGTGCAGAAATGCACAGATAATGCTTACGACTAGAAATGAAAGAAAATGTACAGTTCATTCAGTGAAGAGTTTTACAAATATAAAATCATTAGTTTTTGTCTACAACTGTTCATTTCCCACAATTTATGAAAATGAACACGTTTTAAGTTTCCTTGTGAGTTTATCATGAGGTTTTACGAGTTGTTTGTGAGCCCATTTGCTTTTGTTTATTCCCAGCTGTAGAGACAAACAAACTATCTTATACCTGAAAGATATATTACAAATGCATGTACATGAACACTAATTCATTAAAAATTATATTATAAGAAAAAACACATTTTTAATATTTTTAAATATTTTCTAAATTATCAAAGGTAACTAAGAAGCCTATACAAAATTAATATATTTAGTACAAAACTGAAGCTTGTCTAGTACAATACTGTATCTGCCTGAAACTGTGTATTCCTGATGAACGATGATAAATCAACATTGATCTTTTCTCCCACCCCCCTGTACGCATGGTAACTAAGCAACCAAGGAAAATGAAATTCTACTCCTGTACATTGCTACTGGGCAAACTTTATCATCAAAGAGTAGGCATTGACTTTTTACACATCCTCACTGGGAACAGATTGGTAAGGATTATGACAACTGTGATTAATGCAGCCATGTACCATGGCTCAGTGATAAGACTAACATAACCAGAAAAAAAAGAGAAAATCCTGAAGGAAATCTGCGGAGAATATCGCAAAAGTGAAAATAAGTATGTAATGAATACTCACGGCAAGATTTGCCTTTTAACAGGATCCGTTGATGGCTCAAATGGTTTGTAGTGTCCTGGTCCGGGATTCTGAAAACAACAACGAATTTTATGGCATTTTTGAAGACAACATTTTGGGAATTCGCTAAAACTCTGTGGCACTCAGGAACATTTTCACTGCTACAACGTTTAGCAATTTTTAATGACTCTTGAAAAGTTTACCTCTTGTGAAATTCCAACTGTTTACAGTATGCTATCCACTCACTAATATCACTACATACGATGATGCACTTTGAGAACGCCAACACAGTAACAGCAGTTTACAACATAGACACACAACAACAAATACACAACATAGGAATTAACTTTTTCACCACCAGTTCCCTCTTTTCATCACAAATTCACAAAATATTCCCGTTTATAGTCTGCACTTTCCTTCACAAGATTGGGACAAAAATAGCAAATTTGTTTTGAGTAAAAACTGAAAATTAACTCAAAATTCATTTATTGGCTCCAAAATTAGGGTTCATGTCCAGAAATATTGAAGAAAATAATAAAATAGTGCAGAAATATTTGGGCAAGAATGTCTGGTGGTGAAAAGGCTAAGCATATACCACCAATGGTACACATTTTAGTAAGAGAAAATTGTAAGTCACAATCACAACAATTTATGAAATTCAATCCTCATACAGCTCTTCAATTATCAAGTCACAAACTCACTGGCAAAAGAGATGTAGTTCAAGTACAAAGACACTAGATTTACAGCATATTTAATAAGAATATGCCATCACTGGTAGAATAATAACTTACCAAAGGTGGTGTCCCAGTCATCATTCTACGTGATGTTGATTTAAAACTACTAAATGGTATTTTGACAGAATCTTTAGTTAGTTCATCACTCACATTGTATTGACCTGCAAAAGAAGATGATTACATGTAAACAAAGGCAAAAAAATTTCAGAAATATCTAAACTTACTTTATTTTCGCAACTATTATTTTTTTTAAACCTTCAGTAATACCTTGATCACATAAATTTATAAATTTATTTTGGCAACCGTCGTGAATTGACAAATGGCGTGAATAAAGACTTAGACCATTTGTTTCTGATTTCTAACAAAATATTGTAAAAATTAAAGAAAAGGGGGGGCAACATTTTTGTTAGCAGCATTAGTACAGTTTAAAGAGCCTGTATTTTCTTAGATGTGTTAATTAAGGTAGCAGAATAGTTTTTTTGGCACTTTTCACATTTTTTTTTGAAAATCACACGAATAGCTCCCTAAGGCATGCTACATGCATTGGTGTATTTATTTTATTGAAAAAAAATATCTTGTACAAGTAAACTGGTTTTTTTCTTGTTTGCAAACAAATTGCCAAGTTTTTGTTTATCCAGTGTACACCCAACTCGTGCATCTCATTAATATGCATGGTTTACAAACATAACTGAACTGAGGGTAAATAGTTTTAAGTTAGGTCACTTTCTTTATTTGCTATTTACAAACAACTGATAAGATATCTGTTTGTAGTTTACACACAGCTGATAAGATGTGTGCACTGCTGCTTTTCTAGATGAGGAAGTATAGCAAAGACAAAACAATCGCTTTTGAAACACAACAAATTTTGAATAAACAAAAAAGTACTTGAATGTACCACTTCAATGTAATTATATGTTAACAGAAGAAAAACTTACAATAAATTTTTGTAATATTTTTTCTTGGCTTTGTCATTGAAAGGTGTCTGACCACGGGGTTACTTTCTTATAGTCCAGAAGTAATGCAGTTACATTGAGAGGGGGCTCCCTTTAAGGTAGCGAGAAGGTTTTGTGACGTTATTAAATAAAACATTCTCTGTCTGTTGTCTCATTCAGAACAGTAATTTAGGTTATATATATCAAAAGACTAAGTATAGAGGTGCAAGTTCGCACAAACTGGACAGACATTGTTTACATAATTATCACGTGACATCAAAAATGGCGAACCTTGTAAAAATGACTAAGTCCGCGATTGGGAGAGCACACTGCGGAATTTCCTGGTGAAATTTACGTCATGCATTGTCCCGTAATCAAGTCCATTGAAATGCATCTCCGATAATCAAAAGACCTATTATTCCGATTTCTATGCAGGTTTGTTTTTTTGTCCCCAAATTATTTCATACTTGGCACCTTTAACAGACTATTATTCTGTGACAAAGCATTTTCTCTAAAAACCCAGACATATTTCGCACCATCATTATCTTTTGAACGTTAGTTTAAAGATTATTGCCTTGCAAAGCATACATGTATGTTAATAGTATCCATTGTAAATAAACGAGAATAACACACCTGCTACAAAAGTCACATGATATACTTACTGGGTGATGGGAAATGATCTTTTACAACATTCAGACCTGGACGCCTTGAAGTGGATTTGAATGAGGCTTGTACTTGACTGCCGTAATGTTTTTCTACAGCTCGCTTTGAAACCTGCAAATATTTGTAAATTATGCACTGGTTGAAATGGAAAGTAATTTGGAAATCAAATCACCTCACTACTTATACACTGACACATCCTGTTTAGCCAGTGTGTATTAAAGTGTGCTGTCTTCTGCAACATTCCACCATTTTGTCTTATTTTCATAGCTGTACCAACTCTGATTGGCCACATGTTTTACATGTGTATCCACCAATCAGATTTATGTATTTTAACATGAGTTCATGGAGAGTACATCAAGATATATAATCCATATAATTCAAGTACTAGTAGTTAAGTTATAGACTACTGTAACACTGGTGTAAATATAATAAATTTTGTTGACATTCTCTAAAATACTAAGATTTGAATTTGCAAAATGCAGAATTAAATAAATTAGTCACTAATATTTCAACCACAGGTTTCACCACACTTTTCTTGTGAAAATAAGAGCATGTGAGCACCCCACCCATGGTGGAGAATATGATATTTATTTTTTATTTTTAGATATTTAAATTGAGTTGAGAATATTAAAGTTGTAATGTCAGACTTGGCCTGAAAAGTGACGCAATAAACACATTGATGTTATACTAGCAATTTAGATAATGCAGTGAGCTGTCATTAGTATTGGTAAGTAATATGTGAGTACTTACATTGTATGAGTTAGGTGCTGGTTGTTTTGATAGCTTGTCTTTAACATTTGTTGCTATGGGTACGGCAAAACTACTAGTAGATGTGGACCTATTAAAATCACTTTTACTTTTTAACACACTTGGCAGACCATACTGAGCAGGCCCTGGACCCGCTGTTCCTCTTCGTTTCTGAATTCTAGGAGCCTGAAAAGAACAATGGCATTAATATTATTTTCATTGTTTTCAGCTAATGCAGTCAGAGAATAATTTCTACATTTTTTTCAAATAGCGTTTTAGCAATCTTTGAATAAATGTTATTATTATACATGTGTCACCGTAACACCATAAGTTACAGTGTGCCGTAATTTTGCGGTATTTTACATGGTATTTTCATCATACCATATTAGGAAATGCAAATTCCAAATATGGAATAATAATAAAAACAAACGTGGCTGCCACCAGAGTTTCAACGCAGAGAAGTTTGCTGATTCTGTTCTAAACATTTTGGATTTCGGCATTCCTATGATGTATCCTTGGAAGGAAAAGATGTATAATAATAATAAGGTTATTACGAGAATACCTCAAAGTATGCACTCAGACAGTACGCTGTGCATCAACCTCTGCTGCACATCGGTCAATACTGCAGCTGTACTGTCTTCGTGCATACTTTGAGGTATCCTCATAATAACCTCATATTATTAAATATTATGATGTAGGCCAAGTTTTGTGACAGGCTGCCAAGTGACAAGCAAATCATGTGACAGGCTAAGGCATGTGACTAAGTTGAACGACATTCAGAATTTTACTATTCTTGTTTCAGAGGTACCTTTGTAAGTCACCAAACAGAAGCCGATAAGAGAATCACTTTCACAATCTTAAAGTGGGGGAGTGGATACCTGCGTATGTGGCAGACGGCTATAGCGTGTCATTGTTCACAAACAATTGTCTATCCATGACCCTTTGCATTTTTAGAGTGCTTTGTTATTGTCACTTGGGACTCAATTCCTGTGTGTGCACAGGTTATAACATCTGGGCTTTAATATAATTTCAAGTAAAAGAATCAAGTCGATAAACACGTGTATAATTTAAAAAAAAAATATTTTCCCCACACAAAACAAGGTAAATAAATAAATAGAAATTCAGGAATTAAATCAGGAGATTGTATAACATTGTGTACGGTATATTGATCTCACCTTTGATACAAAGCCAACTCCCATGCCTTTTTTGGATAGTGATGATGTCGTGAAATCAGGATCCTTAAGACTGACATAACTGCCAGGTCCCGGATTTTCACTCTGTGGTACAAAAATAACATAACATAATATGGTGTTAGGATAACTTAGATTTCACATATTACTATGGTAGCCATCAATTTTCACCCAAGTCTTATCAACACGTGTTACCATTTCCTAATGGCTCTTTCAAGGAGATGCCTCGCATGGCTAATGAATCAATCGCAATGCAAGACAGTAACTTTCAATCAACACCCTGATCTTAGTCCTAACAACTCTGTATATGCTCCATTAATAGCACATATACTTACATCATTTATTTTGTATAGTATTTAATAGTCAAAATAAGTCACATTTTAATGATTCAGTATACAACAAATGAGATTTCAGGATTATATTCTATTGGAGATGTGCTTGTAATAGAGAAAATGTGGTAAATGTTTTATTGAAGAACTTTGTTTTTACTAATAATACAGAATCCACATATGCACCATAGTAAATACTATGTTAATTGAAGTAATCACGTACCATATGGGCGACTCAAACTGTTACACACATATGGTACCAAATAATCTAGCTACTAGTCACACACAATATGGTACAACTACTTAGCGTTTACCATGTCATGTTACGTTTGTGATTTACTCCTATTGTAGTAGCAATTCACAGTTCTTGTAACAGGGTAAGTTGTACAAAGATGAAAATTATCGAATTTAGTTGCCCTTTATTTGTGGAGTAATAATAACATACAAACTGCAAACTTACAGCATTTGTTTCATATTGAAATCGCTTTGTACGTGCATTAAATCCTTTCTTCTCGGAATTGTCAATTACTATCGTTTGGTATCTACTTGGTATTGAGGAGGAAGCTGCAGTCATGCCATGGCCTGAAAGTAAGATGCAAGTTGAGATACAATAAGTTGAAAAGAAATGTTTTAGTATTAAAGCATATGATTAGAAAAAATCCAATACACCAACATTGTCATTCGTTGAATACTGATAGAACTCTTGATTTCTTGTTGGCACTAATCACAAATGAACAGAATTGTCACACAGCATACACAGGGGTTTTTCTAAATCGAACAGGGAACAGGGTGCAGCGCCCTGATACTCTCTCGGCTGGCGGCGTCTCACCGAATTGCCCATTGAACTATAAATATATTTCCTGAGCCGGGCTGCCGTACAACATGAAATCTTTCTCAAAAATATTTTTCTTCGTCAAAACTTCCCAGCAACACCAGCTGACAATGTGTCTGGACACCAAATACACTGAAATTACTTAAAAAAATATTTCAATGGCAATAGATAGACCGTTAAAACGGTGCAGAAACCTTCCGATATGACGTTTCCAGGCCGGCCCGCCATGTTGTTTCTGTGCTAGCTTAGTTGCTCCGCTCCCTCACATGTGTGTGCTCCCTCTTGTTCATTATTTCTAGAAAAAACCCTGGCATACACATACAAGGTGCATGCAATGATAATTGTATTCACTGTTATTTCAGCAATAGTTCTCCGAATCCACTGATTCACTTTTTCAAGATGTGCGAATATGCATGTGATAAGTATATAATCCCACAATATTCTTAGGTTGGCTAATACTTTTGATTATCGCCAAAGTAGCATCGACCTTCGCTGCAGCTCAGATTGATACAAAACTCTGGCAGTAATCACTCCTGTCTAATTACGTTGTGTGACAATCAAAAATGAACAATTACAAAAATCAATATTCGGTATAAAAAAAAAGCATTTTCTAATAAGAGTTGTTTCCTATGTAGCCGTTAGGTCACATGAATAATTCCTTTCAAATTTATAGGAAGACTATTTTACTCATGTTACCACTTCATACAACTTGTATGCAAATATTCTTATGCACACCTTAGACAGAATTCAAACATCAATGCTTGACCCTAGTATTATGACAAATAACTACATGTAATAAACAGCATAATTTACAAATCTGGCTTTCAACTAAGTTTTGTCAACAATACAACTTTAACCAAGGTGTGGGTTTAATAAGGAAAACATTCGCCAATGCCCAAAAAAGGTTTTCTATAAAACAGTCCATTTTGGGCAGTAATTTTGTAGCTTGAGCTAACAGTGCTTGAGGTAACTCACCAGTGAAACATAAATGGTGGAAGAATTCAAAAATGATTTCTGGGATTTTGTGCTTCTGAACATATCCTTGACATGGGGCTACAAACATTATTCCACTAAAAATCAGCACTGACTTGTACATTCAGCATTTATATATTAATTACCTTTCTATTTAACTTCTGGTTCAAGTTTTTTTATTTAAAATAATTACTAGAATCTAATGGGGAGGACTTGCTTTAGGAACCACCACCACCCCACACCCTAAATTAATTTTCTAGAAGAGGTATTTTCTTCTTCTTTTTTTCAATTTGAGAGGGGCATTTCTTTTTTTCTATGAATGCAAACATGCCCATATAAGTCTAGATTGTACAGTCTAGTTTGCATGAACTCAGCAAACAGACTAGTTGTAATACAATGTCAAAACAACAACATTGGCTTTTAGTTTTAGGACTGTTGTGGAAACTATAGACGTTCATTGGAAACGAAGTGTTTTGAAAATACATCGTCAGATACGACCATGTTTTGTCTTCAGATTCTATCAACTACATTAAAGTATCGTTTTGTGTTACCCTTATGGATCCTGCCCGACGGTCGACTTGGTATCCGTTGGTAATCTGTGTCGAAGGTTTGTACACTGTCCGCCATGTTGTTTCATTATTTACAGGGACCTGACAACTACTAATAAAATATTGAGTTACTTGGCGAGCCGAACAAAATAGTTCCACATTTAATAGCATTATATTTAGTGCGTGTCTTGACGAATAGAACACAAGAGTAAAACTACCAAATGATGTATCCTCAAATATATTTAACAACAATCACTCTGTTTTGAAGTCACGCTATTCAGATAATAAGTATTTTTAACATACTAGATATTCCTCCGCGCGTTACTATGGCGCCACATGACGCAGCGGCGCACAAAAATTGATTCTCCGTGAGATAGCGCCCTCTCTGATAGCCAATTTCTGAATTGCACAGGTACATGTATCACGGTTGTCGGGGATTGGCAAGGAATATTTTCGTAAGATGTAATCAACTGTTTTTATTTTCGTAATAATGTAATTTAATTAAATAAAAACCGTAAATTCGTATACATGGGCAAGGTGTAAAATGTAATCAGCTATTTTATTCGTCCGTAATTTTATTTGTACAACGATCTTATTTTTTGTAAGCGTATAAAGCATTTCCCACATTAAATGTTGCAATTCGTACGCAATTTCCCATTTTGATTCTTAAACATAAATTATCAAATATATTATAAAAATGCTTTATCTGTCAAGTGTAAAAACCTATTTTTTACTGTACATGGAACTTTCATTTCATTTCTTTTAAAAACATAAAATGCCTTTTTTATTTCCTGTAACCTGTACCAGCTAACCCCCCTCCCCCCATGGAATAAACATAACAATAATTTAGTAAACGAAATAACCGGTTGTCGGTAATAGTTTGTATTATGATTATCAAATGACTGCCTCGATGTGCCTATTGTTACACGTATGTGTTGTTTTCATTTCCTTGTGGTGGCATTCGACCGAATATAAACTTGATATATTGTTGAAGTTAATGGCCAACATGTTCAGCTATTCACTGTGAGTATTATAGCAGTGCATGGTTCAGTGATCGCTGCATAGTTGGTACCGGGTCAAGGCAAATCAAGGGTAAATTGGAGTCGTGCTTTCATTTTGTAAGTACCCTGTTAATGTTGTGAATGCTGATTGTACACATACTGTGCGAATCAGTGTAAACATTTAACTGCAATTCGAACATAATTATTGAGAACGTACAGCTCAAAATTGTAATATTGTAATAATTGCGCTGGTTTTACATACTTCAAGATCCTAAAGCAGGTGCGGCGAAATTGAGAGTATTTATAGTTTCCTACTAGAATTGCACTCTAAAAAACTGCATTAAGTATGTAAACTAATATTCGTATGTAGAAAGCTTAATCAAATTGTTAACAAACCGACAGACATGGCGATTGCACGCTGCAAAAACAAAGAATTGTTTTCCACGCAAAATATTATAATGGTCCGACGATAGCTGTAGGTCTAGTTCACGTGGGTCTAGTTACTATGGGAACAAGTAACGCTCACCAACACGCCCTCTAGAGTCAATATTTCCAAAATGGCAGCGGTTTTATTTTTTAGGTCGGGGCGGAAAACTAAGTAAATTCATCCGCGCGTTTCATTCGTACGCAATTTTATCAAAATTGCTACTTTAAAACCTAGTAAAAGTACAAATTACTTAACGTAGATCAAGTTTTAACTTGATATAGCTTTCCACGTCTGAAATATACCGATATAGACTGCTGTATTTTGGAACTTGATTATGCGGACGCCGACAAGGGAAGTTGTGATCAGTCTTGGGGAAGAAATGGTAAATAGTTGGAGCCGAGTAACTGAAAATGCACGATGAGTTCAGAAATTGAGGAGCATATAACTAGGAAGTATGAAATTAAGAAACGACTCGGGAAGGGGGTAAGTTTGTCAGTTTATTGGTTGTGTGCTATTGTTCCAGTCAGTTCTCGTTTGCTTGCATTTTGCAAGACGATCGGTCTCACCGGTTGACCGATTCAAGTCCAGACTGCGACTTAACTGAAATTATAGCGGAATGCAGTAGATCGTAATCACAACAATGTGCGAACAAAACACTTGACCCACGATCAGCTGTACGACGTAATATTTGATATAACCTATCTTTTTTTACTGTAACATTATTGGAGCCCGTCTTTATATAGTCGTTTTTTGTTTTTTTTCGCTCGTTCCAGTTGTGTCGGGCTTTGCGTTTTATTTTAATAACCCCAATGACAATGTAAATAGTCTGTGATTAACACGACTCTTTGGTTGTCAGATTAATATTGGCAGGGTCAAAGAGGTCATTTAGGTTAGGTTACTACTTGGTTTATTGCAAAATAATATACCTGTGTGTGATATGTACTAAGGAAAAACACATAAAAAATGTTAACATTCCGAAGTTAGTGTTCAAACTGACTACAATAAAAAATTCACTCAAAACACTCAGGCTAAATAAGGCTCATAAGCCACTCAAAAGATATTTAAGATTTTTAATTTGAAATTATTCAGTAAGAAATAAACATAGATAACTTCCTGTGAACTCATAGATTCTCCTGTTAAAAGTTGAAACCATCCTGTTCCGATCGGTTATTCTTGCAACTGTTGTCTACTGACAATGACGCATTCATCATAATAACCCTCTTACCTTCACCTCGTTGTGACAAAGAATAAACTTTCTCTTGTGGCCAAATAGTGGGTATGAATAGTGAAATAGTGGTATGAATTTTTGAAATTGTCAGCTAATACAAATGTTAAACTTGTGATTTAGTGTTCTGCGTGAACACCTGTTACTTGTTATAAACTGACCTTTGACCTATTCTACAGGCATATGGCATTGTGTGGAAAGCCATTGATAGGAAGACAGGTGAGGTAGTTGCAGTCAAGAAAATTTTTGATGCTTTCAGAAATCAGACAGATGCACAGGTATGTTTATGTTTACGCATATAAATGTATTACTACTGTACTCGGTCCCTGTGATGAAGTTATTGATAGTTTTAAAAATGAAACATATAAGCATGTTTAGTCACAATCTGGTATTATTAGTAAATACTGCTTAGGTCAGAGTTCAGGAGTATGATTCGTAGGTCACAACTATGGCATAATTTCAGAAAAGTGAATTGTTTACTTTAAATACTGCGATAGCAGGACTGGGACCAAATGTAGCTTAGAGGGGATACTTGGACCAGATGTAGCTTAGAGGGGATAATTGGACCAGGTGTAGCTTGGAAGGGATACTGGGAGCAGAAGTAGCTTGGAGGGGATACTTGGTCCAGATGTAGCTTGGAAAGGATACTGGGACCAGAAGTAGCTTAGAGGGGATACTTGGACCAGATGTAGCTTGGAGGGGATACTGGGACCAGAATAGTATGGAGGGGATACTGGGAACAGACATAACATGGAGGGAATACTGGGAACAGACGTAGCTTGGAGGGGATACTGGAACCAGACGTAGCTTGGAGGGGATACTGGGACCAGACATAGAGCTTGGAGGGGATACTGGGATCAGACATAGAGCTTGGAGGGGATACTGGGACCAGACATAGCTTGGAGGGGATACTTGGACCAGACATATAGCTTGGAGGGATACTGGGACCAGACATAGAGCTTGGAGGGGATACTGGGACCAGACATAGCTTGGAGGGGATACTTGGACCAGACATATAGCTTGGAGGGATACTGGGACCAGACATATAGCTTGGAGGGATACTGGGACCAGACATAGCTTGGAGGGGATACTGGGTCTGTATGCAGTTTGCATACTGGGATTTCTTAAATTATTCTTGCCACAATACAATACACAATACAATACACAATACTGACATCTATTGTGTATGTGACCAATGATCAATGGATATCTTTGACAAAGTAGGCCTCTGCTACCCAGACAGTATACCTACTGCTCTGTTTCCCAGACAGTCTACCCACTCCTCTGCCAACCAGTGTACCAACTGTCTCACTACTGCTCTATTACCCAGTGTGCCCTCTGCACCACTATCCAGACAGTGGACCCACTACACCATTACCAAGACAGTGTTCCCACTGCTCTGCCACCCAGTTTACCCACTGTAACATTATCCATACTATTCATACAGTATTCCTACTGCTCCATTACCCAGTGTACCTACTGCACCACTATCCATACAGTATTTCCACTGCTCCATTACCCAGTGTACCCACTGCTCCATTACCCAGTGTACCCACTGTACCACTATCCATACAGTATTTCCACTGCTCCATTACCCAGTGTACCCACTGCTCCATTACCCAGTGTACCCACTGTACCACTATCCAGACAGTATGCCTACTGCTCCAGTACCCAGACATATTATACCCACTGCTCTGTTACCCAGTGTACCCACTGCTTTGCCACCCAGTATACCCACTGCACCCCAACCTAGCCAATCTGATCTTGATATGTAAAACAGTGAACATGAGGGAAAAGTTTCTACATCCGAAATGAACTAATGAGATGTCTTGTACTACCCAGTAAAAACAGAATTTCATTCTAAAACAATATCTCTTATTGTTGAGAGAAATTATTACTTTATTCATGTCACTAATCCCATTATTATTTCTTTTCTTTTTTTTCAGAGAACGTTTCGTGAAATTATGTTCTTGCAGGTAGGATGATTGTTAACTGCATAGTTTATTTATTTCTCAACTGTCATGAATTAATGTTGTAATTACCATATTTTGCTCTATTATGTTAGCTAAATGGATACAGTGTATGCGCTTCTAATAGAATTATTATGGTAATTCAAATAGCATTCACCATTCATTCATATTTATCCAATTGACATCATGTCAAAGTTACACTGTTGTCATAACTGTCTTTTTCTTTGTTTCTGTTTTTCTATCTTTTTGACTTCCATGTGCGAAGCACATAATGGGAGTCTTTGCAGTTACCGGGTAGTGTGTCTGTGTGTGTATGTATGTCCGACTGTTCCACTGCTATCTCAAGAACCATACATCGGTTTTTGATGAAACTTGGTGCATAGA